TGAGTCTTACTATTTCTATTACGACTGTTGCTGTTGCCACTGCTATGACTTCACCTATATTTTTTCTTGTTAGTTTGTTTATGGATATGTGCTCACATTTCGGCCTCCATATGTCAACAGATACACAATCAAACCAGATGAGATCTGGCCACGCTCATCTCCGCCAGGTGCAAAGGGGAGCTGAGTGAAGGGCAGCAAAGTGAGGCAGTTAAGTTCCTGTGATAACCTCCAGGTTAAAAGTTATGAAAAAACACTTTGCATTTAAGTCCTTTAGGAGTTTTGACAACAAGATGAAATAATGTGGGTAGTACAAATTAACTTTGTGCGCTTTGTAAAATACAAAATGTCGTTTCGAACCTGTTCTTTAAATGCTAAATCGTTCTACTAATATTTCGTGCTTGTATTTTGAAAGTGAATTCGTCGAGTTTCCGGTTTCACTGTGTTAGCTTGATGCAGAGGTGCTGTCGTCAGCCTGCAGCATCAGAAAATCACAGGCTAAACACACTAATTTATCCCGGGTATTGTAATCGTTCCGGAAGATGGTGGCTAAACAGAGGATCCGCATGGCCAACGAGAAACACAGCAAGAACATCACGCAGAGAGGAAACGTAGCCAAGACGCTGGTGAGCCGTTAACTGTCAGCGAGACGCCAGCATGACATTAGCCGGGATAAGTGACGTTCTCTCCGGTGTGAATACAGCAGCGTGGCGGTGGTGGTGGTGATGCCAGCTGGCTGTTAAATGTGCCTGTTTATCACACCTATGTCGCACAGCGTGACTCAGGACCTGCACCTCACCGTGCGGTCCGGTGATATAGTCAGTTTACCCTTAGACCCAGCAGGCTGGGCTGTTTCGTTAAAATGTAATTTATTCAGCCTGGATACACTCCGCTCGTTACCGCCCTCCGCACTGTAACCTGACGGTACTTTGTTGGAGTGACAATAAAAAGTGAAAAAAGATGAATTTATTATATGTTGTTAAATAACTGGAACCAGTGCTGATTCATGCATGGATTAAATATCAAACTGTGCATTGAATATGTGAAGGTTAAGAGATATCCAGATGAAACGATTAATCGATCATTAAATGGGAAAATTAATAACATATTTCAGTCCTTTTTAAGGCAATGAATTCCAAAAAATGAACATGTTTCAGCTTCACAAATATAGATATTGAACAGTTTTAGTAATCTTCTGTGATAGGAAATTGTGATGGACATTTCAAACTTTTTTTATGACAAATAAGTCATTCATAAACAAAAATTTGATTCAACATATTAATCTGTAAATACAATTATTACTTGTGGACTTTGGGTTTGTTAGCGTTACAGGAACATTTTGACTTATCTAGTGGTGAAACTTTTTATTGATGAATCAATTAGCTGATGGATAGAAAATTAAGCAGCAACTGTTTTGATGCTGTGATAATCATTAATCAAGTACAACTGTCAGACACTAATTAACACTAATATTTAATATCACTGTAAATTTTGTATTTTTTGGTTTTGTACTGCAATTTGATGACATCACTTTGGGCTCTGGGAAAATGTGATGGACATTTTTCACCATTTTCTGAGAGTCTCCCTTTTGATTGCATCACATGTTTATCAGCAGAAGGAATTTGCCCAGTTGTTATGAAGATGTAAATATTCAAATTCCCATCCCTTTGAGCACTTTAAGGACCTCTCATCCATGCTAATTGAGAGTTGAAGTTCATTCTTAACCTTGGAAACAGCAGTTGACAAAAACCCATTTCATACCTGCTCTCATAGTTGTAGCCAAGATGAGTGAGGAGAAACAAACTCCAGAGTAACAAACTTTTTTTCCCATTTATCTCTTTATGAAAAACGAGGCATCTTTCTTCTGTATCTGTCATAAGTTTTCCACCCAACCTCTCTGCTGTAATAGTTCATCAGAAGAAAAAGAGAGTAGCTAGTGTTTTTTTCTGTTTCAACAGATTAATTGATAATGAAAAAAGTTGTCTGCTGCATCTCTTACATGTTGCACAGTTGCAAAGACGACCATTGATTTACACTGTTGTTGTCTTAAGCAGGGCCTCTATATATTTTTTTGTCACCGGCCCTCCAGCACACACACATGCACACATTAAAAATCCCATTTACTGTGAGGAACCCACCAGGGAGGATTGAAGTGGGCTTGGGAGATAATATTGGTGTGCTATCACTAATCACTTTTTCCAGGGGCATCAAGATCATCACTGTACCCTCGCCACCAGCAGAAAAACATGTGACGCAGATGATATCATCTTGTGGGATTGACGGGTACTCCCTAAATTCGTCTAGACTGACTGACTCGTGCTGTTCCACTCATCTTTTCCACATGAGCCACAATGTGAAAAACCACTAACTCTGCACCTTTCAATGTATAATTAGACACTGAGGTTTGTTTAGTGTGACCACACAGTTGTTATTGTGGGCGTAGCATCATCTTGTCTCCTTAGTTCTGAAAAACAAGACAATTGGTGGTTATTGAGTTAAACAGAGCAACCACCACCTGACCAGTAATGGTAATGGGAAACTACTTTGTAAATCAACCCACATTGAATAAATTTTATTTTTGTTCTGCAGCATCTGTCATAATTCTGTTGTGTTGCAGTAATGCTAATTTACAGTGTGTGTGTTCGCGCGTGTGTGTGTGTGTGTGTGTGTGTGTGTGTGTGTGTGTGTGTGTGTGTGTGTGTGTGTGTGTTTCCCATAGCGACCACAAGAGGAGAAGTATCCTGTGGGCCCCTGGTTGCTTGCCCTATTTGTATTTGTTGTGTGTGGATCAGGTACACACTTTTTGTATCTACAGAAGAAAATGTGTGTTTGCATTATGTCTTTGCCTTTGTTTGTTTTAATGTAGTGGCTGATTACGCTAATGTGGCAATAAGCTAATATAGCCTCTGCACCATTTATATTGTATTTATGTGGCATTTTATTTAAACTTTATTTTGTTTTTTTCTCTTTTGGATTTTCCTTATCGCTTTCGCTTATTTTACTTGGATTAACCCCTGTATGTGCCCAGATTTGTTTTGCTCTGTTTCCTGTTCTTCATTGACTTACTGGAATATGTTGTCTTGTGTTGCATTGTGTTTTTTATCTATTACTTAATAAAAAACCAAATAAAAACTTCAGTTGCATAACTAATACAGCTATTATGATATTTAACCAATGTAGGTAATGCATGTTGGATTACACCAATATAGCTAATGCAGATAATATGGTGATTGATTACATGTATACCTGTGGTAGTAAGCTAAAGTAGATTTGCAACACTGTGGAAAAAGAGCTTCTTTACTGCATGTAGAAGGTAGAGGTAGAAGCAGTAGATGTGGTCTTTCTAAATACAATAAAATAATATAATTTTAGCATTCTACGGTGTTGTGAGTCATGAAACAAAGAATCTTCAGTTTGTTGAACACTGCACCCGGATGTGAACGATGTGCATGTGTTTTGCACACAGTAGACTAATGTAGCATCTGTGCCAAATCTAAATGTCAGAAATTCCTTGGTCATGTATTTCAATAACAAAACAAAACAAACAGACATGGTCTAACAAGTCAGTGTGTGTGCTCTCAGCCATATTTCAGATCATCCAGAGCATCCGCATGGGGATGTGATTCAGAAGGTGCCTCCGGACCCCTGTCCTACCCCTTCATGCCTTCACTGAGCCTGGCTAGCCCGTGCCTGCACAACCCCAACTCCATCCAGAGGCCCAGAGACTGACGCCACAGCTTCAGATCCAGCAGATCTCAGAGAGAGAAGCTTCCCGGACCACCGCCTCCACCGGCTCCTCCTCCGGACATGTCCCAAACTTTGATCAGCGTTTACAGTGTTGCAGTCTGTGGTACTGACAGCTTTTCTACGGACAGTCTAAAACCACGCTGGCTGGAGAACATGTGTCTCATTACTCACTTGGCACCTGTTTGTGTGAAGGTGTGAGACTGTTGATGCGAGACTGAGTGCTGCCAGTGATTCCTGCTGACAATGTGCCATATCTGTCTGTTTCAGTATTTGTCTGTGTCGTGTGAGAAGAATCTTTTTTCAAATAAATGTCGAGCATTTAGGGAGCACACGGTTTCCCTTCTGCTTTTGAAGACTCCCGGTGTTCATCAGTGCACCCACTCCTACACACACGATGTGCTGATGTGTTTTATTGGAAGAGTGGATGAGAGGCCCCCTCCCTTTCTAAAAGGAGGGCTTTAGGTTTGACAAGCCAACACAGTGTGGTGGAAATACTGCACAGTGTAGTTTTAAATGCAAAATAACAGCAGCAAACAAAAAAAACCCCTGCTAACTATTTATATGAACAAACTTAAGAATTAATAAAAATATATTCTGTAATGTCTGGTGAGAAATTAAATGTTACACCCTGTCGTGGTTAGGACAAAAGCAGTTAAACTCCAGCAGGAATTCCCGCAGCGTGACCATTCAAGGCCGTGTAAATATGTATTCATCAGTTATTTATTAGTGGAAATCTTAATCTTGATGTACATTGACCTGTAGATCACATTTTTGCCTGTGAAGTTGATTTTATATGAAATGAGTCAAATGCTAGTTTAGCAATTGGAATTAATTGAACATGCAAATTATAAGTATTGTCTGAATTTTTTAATATAAATTGTTTCAGATTACATAGGAAACTGTTAGGGAATTTAAAATTCAGCATCAACAATTTTTGTTTTTGGCTGAACCTAAAATCTTCATGAAGCCAGAACGGGTCACCTTGTAGACCTAAAACCACTTGGCTGTGTCTTTTACCCTCACTGCTCAGTAACATAGTAGGCAGTCATGAACCTTGATTAAATAACATCCTGAAGCAGAGAGGAATCCAGCTGCAGACCAACTCAACATACCACAAAGTAGGATGCAGCGTGACTACACGTGTGAGTGCACTCTCAGAAAAACAAGCAGCCTGTCAGCATTTAGAGGCTTGGTCCACATTTGCATTGTCGTATCAACTGGACAGTAAAAACTACAAAGAGATAGTGACCAGGTGGTTATTCTTCCTTAAGCATGTTTATTGAAAGTTGTGAAGTGCAGCTGTCAAGTGCAATTGTGGTATGTATGTTACAATATCTTATCCGGTCTTTGCGGAAACATGCACAGAACATGAGCATACAACTGATACACAGAATGAAAAAGAAATAACATCTCCAGAGTTTGTATTTGTTTTCTGTTCTTTTTTTTGTTAGTTTTTTTTTTTTTTTTTAGATGTTGAGATATTGTCCATCCAGAAGTACTTCACTGTCAAAACTTTTTAAAAAAAAATTAAAGGTGCAATACTCCAGAAAGAAAAAGAGCCAAGTGAAAATGGATTTACAGTCAAAGAGTTAATGTTGCAGTAAGGGATATGGACAGCATTGTTCGCTGCGTGTTGTCAGTTAAATAACCTAAACTCCTGTCGATCCACAGTCCTGAAAATACAGCATTAAAAATAGACAACACAGACTGGGCAAGACTAGCACGTCCCTCGCTCACCCGCTTCAATCTGTGTGACCTAGATAGCATCTGTTATTTTTCTCCTTCTCCTCACTATTTTACATGGTACTTACACTATACAGAAATATACATCGTTTTCTGCCCATCAAACTTTTAGGAAAAAAGAAAATGCAGCTTAGCCCGATGTCTCAACCCTGTCAAATAAGGTTTAAATTACATGCCACTGCAGGGTTGAGAAAACAGCAATAATGAGCTTTGTCAAGGGCAAAATGAGAAGCTTGAAAGTGAAATACTGAAAATAGAATATCATCATCTCCATAAGAAACCATGTTTTGTTCATCCCACCAACCCACAGTTGAAGTAACGTCATCAATGCTGCCAAGTGTTGTTCAAAATAGCCTCCCACCCCCTCCCCAGCCCTCCCCCTGACTCCCCCATTCCAGATGGGGACTTCGTCATGATAATAATTGCTAACATTCTTCATTTGTCACTCTGAGAAGGCCTTTTCTCTCTTCCTCTCTCTCTCTCTCAGATCTCTCAACTTGTAACTTTAAGATCTAGCTTTGAGAGAGAACCACTTTTATTTACATTATTCAGCAAAAAGGTAACAACCAATAGAGTCCTCCATCTCCTGCTCCATCATCATCTCCCTCATCAGTAAAATCGACATCACTTAAAATCCAGACACAGGCACAGTGATTTTTTTAAATCTATAGTTAAGTATACTGTCGCCACTGATAAGCTGTTTTGTTTTTCTTGGTAAGACATTCTAGTTGATATGTCCAAGGGTTATTTGGCAAATGTTCAATGATTCATCCTCCTATTAAACAACCCCACCCCAGCCCCCAAAACAGTGTCTCAAGATTGTCACCCTCCGCTGTGCTGTAAAGCACAGCACTGCTCGTCCCGCTGGCTGCATCCTTCTGAGAGATAAATATGTGCAAATTCTTGTCTTAACAGCGCAACCTCCTGCTGTAGAAGGCGAGGTTTGGCTCTGCTGCGGTAGCAGAACTCAAAAACTGTCAGTCAGTCTGTTTTGTCAGTGCAGACCGGGCTACGCCGAGGGGCCAGAGCTGTGCAATGCGGGCTGGGCGAGGGTGGCGGTGTTTGGGGGTCCCGGTGTGGCAGCTGTCGGAGGGGCAGGCGGGGAGCCAGTCTGAACTTGGGCCTGAAACTGGGCCATCTGTTCTGGGCTGGCCAGTGTCTTCAGCAGGGTGTTCTCCTGCTCCAGCTGGGAGTTGCGCTCTATCAGCTCCTTGATCTGCTCTTTTAGGACCTCCACTTCCTCACGCACAGCGTACATCAGGTGACTCTTCACCAGGTCCTGAGACAGAGAGATATGAGTTTATGATTGGAATCCATCAATTAAATCACTTCAATGAAAGGTCAGACACAAACCTGGGGTTTTTCAACCTCATCTAAACTGTGACACAATTTTTATGCCCCAGATTTTTTATGATGCTAGAAATTTGATTACACATACTATATGAAATGATTAAACACTCCAGTAAAACAAATGAAAAGAAATGCCCCGTGATTTATAGAAAAAAAGATAGGGAGATGGCATTAATATGATATTGATCTTTACAAAAATCACCTTCACAAATAGTTAAAAACCTTTTATATCAGAAATGTAAGCCCCTCGAGGACGTTTAAAAAAACAATTTTTCTTAAACCTGACCACCATACATTTTCAAGATTATCCAGTGTGGTTATAAAAGGATTTCACATCTGACAAGGAAATTAAGTTCTTCAAAATGTACGGCAATACCTAACCTATAACTGTATACAGGAACAGTTCAAACAGTTCATTGGTTATTAAACTTTTATTTAATAACCAATGAACTGTTTGAACTGATTAAAAGTTTGTTTGCTCTATAAACCTCTCCATATGAATACTATTTAAAAATCAAAATATAAACTAATTGTGTAGCTGAAGCAGCAACTAGTCATTGATACATACAGCAGGTAAAAGCCCTTTATGAGAATAAAGAGAATTGTATGTTTTATGTTAATGATTCACAGACAGTCAGCACTGGAGTATGTTATGTATTAATCAATGAGTTGATATGCCCCACAACAATCTATACTGGGGAAGAGAATCGTAAATGTGTACAAAAAGTTTCTGACCTAAGCCTACACACGTTTCATGTCATAAGTATAGACAGATCTTTTGGGACTAAGGCTTCATCCAACATAATGAAGTGATATACTACACAAAACGGATGATAATGGGAAAACGTGAGAAAGAATATTCCCAGGGTGAAACGTCATTAACCCAGCCTACACTACAGTGTCGGCCAATCAGAGGGAGAGATATTTATAACCAGGCGTGTGAGCCTTCCAGTTTGCCTAGCAACAGAGCTGAAAGCGACGACAACAGAGGCAGAGTGAAACTAAAAGAAAAATAAAACGCCGTTTGATTTTCTGATAATAAATCTGATAATAAACTGCTGAACTCAGAGACCTGGTTTTAAAATACCATGAGTGAACAAAACAAATATACATAAAAAACACTTAAAACGTCCTTTGTCTCACACTGGTCACAGCAGCTGGTTTGAGGTAGTTACCTTTATTTCGTTGAGGACACTAGATTTAATCAAACTACTTTCACATGAGTACTTAAATATTATTTTGATCCTATCATAATTTACACGGTTTATTCCGATGTGAGCACATCAGTACAATGACATGTAACATTCAATTTATTCCTTAACAATATACAAAATACTAAAATTTTAAATGAATACATACACCACTGTCCATGTCGTGCACATTTATACTGTGATAACTCATGTACCTGAATATTTTACCTAAACAAATCCTATCTTTCAAAACAAATAGCGTCGTTTCATACGGACTAAAAGCCACTGTAGTGATCAACCTTTTACACAGTGTAAAGAAAGACACAAGTTTTAACTTACCATTGCTTGTTCTATCTTGTTGTCTATGGCCACAACGCTGGCTCCTGACGAACTGCATAAGAAAAAGAGAGAAATTAGTAAAACGTTTTAAACCATTATGTGCTTTAAGTTAATACAAAAAAAAACATGGAGTCGCAGCCCGCGGAGAAAACAGCCTCTCTCCTTTCATAGAAATGTGGGTCGTTACAGGAAGCATCTGGAAATTTCTATAAAAGTCAAGGGCCCGGTTTCATTGTGGGACAATTCCTTGTCCCTCTCCCTAGAAAGCGTTTATGGCAGTGTAGTCTCTGTGGGTGTAATGACACTGTATCATCCATCGACCGTGCAGGCTCTCCATCACACAGCGGTGACATTACTGCTGCATGTGCAGGGAGCTGATCCTTGAACACATGAATACAGGGGCGATTGTGTATCACAGCTCTATAACACAGCATTTACCTATTATCGAGCTTGACGTGCGAGCTCTCCGCGCTCAGCAACGACGACAGAAACGATATGGAGAAATTTCTCAGCTGGCAGACGCCTAGATCCATAGCTACGGTGTAGCACGGCGTATTCATGCTGTTCATGTTTTACAGTCCGTTAACGAACAACCCCGTGTCCCGACTCGACCTCCACACGACCAGCTCAGCGTGACACATCCACACGCACTATTCTGTGTTCTGTCCGGTAAAGGCTCGTGCAGCAACCGCAGCGGTTACAAACACAATCCAAGGTCGGCTCATCTCAGCTCTAAGCAAAAATCTGCAGCTAGGGATGAGGCCGCATAATTTATCCAGTGACACGCCGAGAGGCCGCCTCCTGATTGGTGGAGACGGAGCCTATTTGAATGATTTATTCAGGAACGCCCCCACCTGGCGCTCAGCTGACACGTTTTTGCATAAAATATTTCGGGAACTGAGGGGAGGTGGATGAAACCGGGGAGAACCGGATGGGAGAGGAAGAAGAAAGGACTGTAGTACTAACACAGGCAGGGGAAAGGCAAGATGTACGACTGTTATATTACAGCGACAATACACATTAACCCTATGTCAGTCGCCTGTGCTGCCTTGGGCATTATTAACACAGGAATGTACCTAAGAGACGTATTATTGTTTTTTTTGTTTTTTTTAAATGTCCATTACAAGAAAGCTTGAAGTTTTGTCATCCCAGGGAAACACTTGGAGGGAATCCCTCGGCAAGCAACTTGTTTTTATAAACAGTTTACCACACATACAAAATGATAAGTGGTCATTTATATTCATCCCCTTAATATTAAGGAACATAAGCAGATTTGGAGCTTTCAGTCACAAATTAGTAATATTTACATGCAAATTTGTACTCTTTTTGAAGTATTAAAAATATGATGCAATCAATTCCCACATCATATATTTTTTAACTAACAAACATATTCACAATGATCCATACAATCTACAATAAGAGCACTATATTAAGAGGATGGTTAACAATAATTTTCAGATCAGATAGAAATAAACCATTAAGCTCTGGGGCAGGTGTTAAATCAAAAGGTTTCAAACAAAAATGAAATGCTATCTTGCACATATGCTGCCCTCATGTGGCCTTATACAGCACTACACAGCTGTGAGGCTGAGCCAAAAGATCATCAAAGAATTCTGGCAGAATGAGCCAAATTATTACAGAGTCCTGAGCACTAAGGGGGAAAAACTATGTGGTCAAGCTGTTAAGCGTGAAGCTGGGAACTGGGACTGCTGGAGGGTACATACCCATCAATACAAAACCTTGTGCACAATGGATGAACAAAACATTTAACATTTTATCAAATTCAAAAATGGTTGGGAGTTTTTGTCAATCAAACCTGTTTTTTAACCTTTGAATTTTTTTTTGGCACATCAGACATTTGAAATGCTTTCCTACACTTGGCTAGATGTAGATTTAACAGATGCAGAACAGCGAGAAGATATTTTTCACAGAATAAAACAACACAGGGACTATCATACTCCACTGTAGCGTCATCCCACTTCCAAAATAGGGTGTAACAGGCATATTCTCGTGTAATTTGTTTTAGAGACATTTCTTGGCTGTCACTAAATTGATTAAAATGTTTCTTACAAGGTTTTAAACTCCACAAAAGAATGACAATCAAGCTCTCCTGTGGATCCACAGACACCAGGCTGAAAGCTGTTAATACTATATGACCCTTTTTAATCATTATACATCTTTTCTTAAAATGATGGAGGTCATTGTAGATCAATAAGGTCAATCTGACTCAAACGACATTACCGCACAACCAAAACTGCCTTCTCGGCATTTTGCAGTGGGAGTATCCCTGTGCTGAACAGTCATAACGACACACCTAAACAACTCCCACCTCAGACATCGTCTGAACAAGACCCCCTCCCACAAACACACACCTCCCTTCATTCTCTGGAAAGCTGCCCTCACACATTCCATGCACACCCAAAACCCTCAAAATCATGTGTACACACTCCTCACATTCCTGCTGTCTGATCACACCTACACTACGCAGCATAAAACAAACACAGAAATCCTGCTTTTTTTTCTTTTATCATTAAGAGAGGGTCCACCAATATTTCAAATCTTTGACATATTGACCAACAGGAAATGGTTACACTTCCAGAATGAGATCAGGTGTGGCATAGAGCCAAGCAAGAAGACACAAAAGGGTGGGTTACAGGTATGGTTAAGGCCACATAAGATACTGCAGGTAATCCATGAACTATGTAGGGGTCCATGTTAAAATACACTCTAATAAATGGTCCTAAAATCCGACCTATTTCCTACTAAGCATTACTGAGGTGTAGCTGTGGATCAAGGGGCCTCAATGGCAGGCAGCTACCAGGGAGAATAAAACACAGAGTACACGCCAAGTACCTTCCAAATACTTTTAAAGTCAGTGTTCACATTTAATTTAAGGCTAATTTGGGTATCACAGCTCAGTCCTGGCTTGTTTAAGCACCAGTACTGTGAAGAAACAAAGCCTCTGTGTACTTGTACTGATGTCAGCCTCTGCTCACCTCTGATCCCAGTCAAACACTTCAGCACTTAACAAGAAGCCAAATGGCTTAACAAGAGGATCTAAGCCACACTTATCTCTTCCGGTCTCTTCTTTGACTGGGAGACAGTTTAGCCAATTATCCAGACCCAAATAGCCAGTACTACCTCAGCTCCAATGTGGTCACACTTGCTCACAAGTACACAGAGGCCTGGTAGGAGCTATAATTGTCACCACTGGCAGCTGGCCAAGAGGAAAGCTAAATGATGTTCCAAGAAAACTTTGATAAGCCATTGGTCAAGAACAAGACTTTCATGCTTTAAACAACAAATCCAGAGTCAAAGCACTACAACAAAACAAGTCTACTGAACTCCTTGTTTTGTGATGCTGTTTAAGGTTTGTTTAGATTTGTAAGGTTTTTAGATGCAGGTTCATATTTTTCTAAGTTAAGATACACACAATGTTAATTTTTCATTTTATAACCATTAAAGAAGATTTGAGCTCAACTGTAGGACCATGATGTCTAGTTTCCACCAGTGGACTTTACCTATTATATTGTACCTGAGATACTTGATGGAGATGCTAACATCTCAATAATGCTGCTTTATTACAACTTGTACTTAATTTTTTACCAAACACTACATAGTTTTTAACTGTGACACGAGCAGACCGTGTTATAGGTATGCCAGACATCTGATGCGTTGCTGTAAAACAACACCGGCCCAGTGACCTACTGAGGCAACGTAAGAGAGAAATGACCCAAACTGTATTAAGCCAAATGTTCAAGCTCCTTTATCAGACGTCTGGTTGATGTTCTATTTTTATCTGACACTAATTTTTAGTACTGATGGGCATTTTAAATACATGAGCACACGGTACTGCTTTCCAAAAACAAATATGCATCAAGTCTCTATACAATTAATTAATATTCAAACACAAATGTGTTTTTTAAATATGTATGAATTTAATATTTCTGCATTAAAACTGGAGAATGTGAGGCCCAGAACATCAAGGATTTTCTTTTAGAAATAAACAAGGTAATTTACATATAACATGAATGATGATTGAATTGACATCTCTCTGACACATGGTCAGCAATGACATGCACACAGTCTCCAAAGATAAGATTTACTGCAGGGCGGTTGTACTTGGTTGAACCAGATTGTACAGGTGTACTTAACAAAACCAATAACTCCACCGTCCCTAATTGAACTCATTTTTTATGGCATTTTCTTTTCTCGTAAAGGAACAGTACTGCGGGCTGCATGTCTTGCTATACTGCTGCAGTACAGAGGATAACTTCATGTGATATGATGGACCAGATAGACCATTGTGATGGCATAAGCAGAATATGATAAGCAATGCAGTGACTGAAAAAAAAACACACTGAGTGTTAATTACTCACTGCCCACTGGAGATATTTGCAAATGACACATATTTACACTGCAGATGTATGTCATCTTCTTTGTCTCAGCATGTCTATAGTTTACGCCACATTAATACACCCTTCAACTTGCATTAGATATTAAATCTAATTTAACTTACAGTGTGATGAGCACCCAGTAAACCAGTTTAATGCTAATGCTACCCTTGAAGCCATGAATGCAGCCTTTTGTGTGCAGCTACTGTAGTGGTTGGCCCAGGCAGCTAACTCCCTGGGGGTTCCCCGTCTTTATTTTACCTTTTGAGATGCTGCTCCAGCTCCCAGAACAAAAGCTTCATAGCCATCTCGTCATGGCCTTGAACTCGTACACCCCGCACTCTCATGGAGCCGTCCGTCAGCAGGAACATATACACTCCAAAGTAACACACAAGTGTGTCCCGAGCTTCTTTGTTTAGTGTTTTCAAACAGCCCTCGTTCCTTCTTAAAATTTAGAGAACAGATCTGCGTCTCCCCCTACAGATGCATTAGTGAGTGCAGCTGAATAGGGAATCAAAAGGCAGCATGCCAGGTTATGACTGTGTACATGTGTGTATGTCATCCATTTGTGTTTGAATGGCTGACTAGTGAGTGAATTACTGAGTACCGACAGGAGCTGGGTGAGTGGTGACGTGTGATCATGTGATACTGGGAGTTA